GACGGCTAGCGCAGATAGCCCTCGTGTAGCTTTGCGCGAAATTCCAAAACAAACAAACAATACGTCAACCACACTTCTTTTGCATTATCCAACGCTAACTGGGCCTTTCGCCCAATATGAGGGGTCATCAGACCCGCTAGGGTACGACAGACATAGTAATTGTCTAGGCAGTATATATCATCATCAGTTTTCACGATTAACAACTGTTATGGTGTGAACTATATTAAGCAAGTGATTAATAACACAGCAATATTTAATTACTTTACTTTTAACACCGATTATTCATTTTATTATTTCGTTCGAATTAACTCTACTATCACTCACAAGAACTGGCGAAACAGCAGTTTGAGGAAGCTAATTCGTCTTGTTTTCGGAACGGATCAATCAACCACAGCGTTAACTAGAGAAAACTACATTAATAATTTTAAAAAAGCATGACCGAAAGCAAAGAAGAATATGTCACTGCAAATTTTATAAAACTGAGGAACTTCATATACGATCGTAACATATACAAGTTACTCATCATGATACGTTATAATTCATAATTAATATAATACTTTTTATTTGTCAATGAAATATTACAAATATCTTATTTATTTTTTAGGTATTTATTATCACCTATTATCATGTTTGTTTTTATATCCAGGATAATCACTTGCGAGCGGATCCTCGACCAAGTAGAAGTGCAACCTCGTCTCCAGTTCCACCTCTTCCTATTATTTCTCACAACCAGGGGTCGTCTAACCGTAAAATGATTAAAGATTATATTTATTCAGCCAGTTCAAACTCCAGTATTAACAAAAGTGAGTGTTATACGCCCTTACATAGTCCCCAGATCTTCACGGAGGCTAAGGACGACTCCTGATTCAATCGTATAGCTAGCAGTTTTTATTGTGACAACTTGCATACAACTGTATAGTTATTTCAAACGTTTTGCTATTTGGTGTGTCATAACATTGTTCAGATTTTTCTGCATCTCTTACATCCAAAAGATATAAAAACAAGAAGAAAAACTCTGAAACCTCTGAAAATTACTAAACATGATCTCTATGCCAAATTTCTGAGAATAATTGTTATTTGATCTTGTGTATACTTTGGAAAACTGTGCTAACTTTTTTTTTTCTGCTAAGTTAGAATTATTGTTGCCAAAATGCTAGGAAGAAACTCGAATTAAAAAAAATGCTTAAATAGTAAAACAAAAGAACGAGAACAAAAATGCGTATTGTCTACCGTCGAGATGAAAGTTTTGAATGCATATGAAAATACTGTATGCTTTATGAAATTTCCTATCAGTAATCTCGTTATTATGAAACGAAACATCATTGTTTAATGGGGAAAAAAAATAACTGCTAAATTGTAAAATCCAATCTCAGTTTGACCAATTTAAATTGAAAATAATCCGTTGAGTCTCTTTAAGACATATTTAAATAAAGCTTTCTTTGTGGTTAGCACTAGTAGGTCGCGTTATTCATATCTTCTGTGACTAACGGTTGTTTCTGAACGCTGAAATTAATTCAACTCCGATATAATCATTTACTGAAAATAATTATAATAATATGGCGCTTCTTACAAAACAAGTAACTCAACATAATGATAAAATAAAAGATATAAGAAACTGAGCTTTAAAACATTTAAGTTTGAGTGGAATATCAGCTAAAAATCATGGTGTAATGGATTTTATATAAAAAGCGCCATCTAGGAAGTCCAGATGTTCTCTACACAACGTGCCTTTGGAAATAAATTGTGTCTTGGGGTAAATAACCCAGACGTAGGCTTAAGTTCTAAGTGTTAACGCCCGAAATTGATAGATTTACTTGAATATCCTTCTAAAGTATAATATAATTCTTTTGTGGAAATACAATGTTGAATATTGTGTAATTTCTGATACAAAGGAAGCTAAATAAACTAACGAATTTGCATGCGTATCTGTTCCAGTACAATAGCTACATCCGTATGCGTTATTTCCGTAGCTAACTATAAACTTCCGTTAGTGTTATCAAGGATTATGTGTGTTTATTTTCACTATTTAGTTGCACATAGAGTTATAAATATCCACTAAGTCTGTGTGATTAAGATAAATAAATAATCCAGGATTACGTTTATTTTTTTAGAGTAAATACACATACTTAGAAAAGAAAGAAATATCATTGTCAAATTAATTTTATTATTAAAAATCATCACGGCAACAGAGTTTGAGAGAAAATAGTAATAGCATAAATTAATAGCATAATATTAATGAAGTTTTTTAAAGTGCATACATTGTTAGTTTAGAATTCGATGAAAATAAAATAATAGTCTTTACATTCTTCTATGAATATTAAGCGGTATATAAGTTAATAAATCGTTATCGGATAATTTTGTCTTGCATTTGGTAAGATTTGTAATTATTTTTGTGAAGGAAATTACTTAAGATAATTACTATCCTGATCGCTAGAGTGCAGCAAATACTGAGCGTATTTCATGTATGTTTTTTTTTTCTTTATCATAAAGCAACACAAGAGGCTATATGCGTTTTGTCCACCACAGGAAATATATCCCCGGGTTTTAGCGTTGTAAGTACGTTAACTTACCGCTGACTTACCAGGGGGACACACGTGCTTTATGTGCATAGAATAGCTAGTACAGTGGTTATGAATGATGAAACGTCGTGAAAAACTACCTTAATATATTGGTTTTCAGAGAATGGTTGAGATGGAAATGCTGGAAGACTATCAATGTCGTTTTTGTTTTAATATTTGTAATACACTACCTCTAAAAAAATCTTGAAAGTATTATCTTAATCTCCTAAAATATACTGTATACCGTTATCTTTTTTTTTGTAGAATCATTTTTCCATGATTTGTAGGAAAATTAGTAAATTCATTCTACGAACGTATTTCTGCGAACTGCTGAGTTAAAAGAAATCACAGTCGTCTGCTTATTTTGTATTTACAAACCTTTCGCTGGCGCTTTAGGATAAAAAGTTTTGTTGAAAGAGGCAATGTGTCTTTTGTTATTTTCTTGCGCTTTAGGACACAAAGCTTTGTTGAAAGAGGCAATGTGTCTTTTGTTGTTTACTTGCAGATAGATGTCGACCTATTTATGTATTGAATGTATTCTCTATGAATATAACCTATCAGACCAGTTTCTGGATGAAGGTTTTGGTTGGTTTGTTTAATTACGCGCAAATCTACTCGAGAGCTAACTGCGCTAGCCGTGTCTGATTTAGGGGTGATAGACTAGGGGGAATGCAGCTAGTCAACACCACCCGGATATTTTTTTACCGTAACATTATAACGCTCCTAAAGCTGAAAGAGTAAGTATGTTCGATGACAGGAATCGAATCCGCAACCCGAAAATTGCGAGTAAAATACCTTAACCAACATGCTAGGCCTTTGAAAGTTTTGGAACTTCATGTTCAATTAGGAATTAAGACCTTCATCAGGACTTTCTATAACCTCAAATGTATTCAAGAAGTCTAATGAAAAGAAAGAGGTTCATAAAAATTACATTCAACATACCGACCACTCTACCAGAACCTTCTTTGAAAGGAGGTGTGTATGTTACTTGATACGCTACTGTAACCCAGTGTTTTTGTAATACATACCACGTTTGTCAAGTTTTAGTTTATTCAAGTGTATAGTAAATTAAGCACTATTTTTATGTTCGTTCATACAAAGAAAACATAACAATTTAGTTACCGAATTTTGAGTTCTTGTTCATGTAATATAGATTATTAATTGCCCTACTGACCCATTAGTTTCAATTGCCTTTGGAATTGCAGCTATTGCTAAATATAAACTAGGTTGTGAAAAAAATCAATGGCAGAGTTGCTTTGCCTATCTTTTCCTGTAATTATTTACTAGACGACACATTAAACTAGTCATTCCTCAGTTGCTAACGATTTGTGATATTTTGTTTGGTTTTATAATGGTAGCTCTTAGAAATAATTCAATACTTCAAATATGAAGCGTTTCCAAAACTTTTGTTCCAATTGTGATGTATACCTGAAATACGTTGGGCAGTCCAAAGAATGGGAAGTTGTCCAGGCCAGGGTTTATAAAGCATGTTTGTTTGTTTTTCCCTGTATTTTCCTTCTTTTCAGAAAATATTGTATATGAAATTACTAAAATTGTGGAGAATTGTGTGGTTTTCATTCCAAAAGTATAGAAATTTTGTATACCGTATATTTGGATTTCAGCAGACAGCACATTTAAATTTACCCTTGAAATATAAGAACAATAAAATAATATTACAAGAATTATGGAATTGTGTTTTGATTTTATATAAGTTGTTAAAATCGTGAACAGGTCATTTGTAATAACTCTCGTGCATGTTGCAAAGTTCTCGCTCTTTTATATGACTGTGTTCATTACATACAAGGTTCCATTTTTCACTATTGTTTTTTCACAGAATAATCTGTTTTTCACATCATTGAAATTTGGATAAAGAACATAAAGTGTCTTTAGTGTTTTTCCACACTACTCATTTATCATTATTTTTATCATGTAAAAGCACGGACATAAGTAAGTAAATAATTAAGTTTTTCAATACCCTTATTATCCATCACCTACTTATTTGTCTGTTTCAAAATTTCGCGCATTACTCAAGGGTTATCTGCACATAGTTGTCTCTAATTTTAAACTAGCAGTTTAGAGAATAGTCATTTAGTCAACACCACCGCCAACGTTTTTCTTATCGAATACTTGGACTTCACGTTCACTCTTATAACGCATCCACGGTTCAAAGTGCGAATCACGTTTTCATGGCAACTGGTCACAAACCAAAAATCCCTGTTTCGCACTAAGGGCATGCTAACGAGTTTACAATCTTATTCACTACACCATTTACGAAATATTAACATTATTACTTTGTAAAGGTTTAATGCACTACCGATATACAAACAAAATAAAACCCAACAACGTCAAATATATAGGAATCTTGCAAAGTAAGATTAACTCATTATTAACTCAGTTGTTGCTGCATATAGTACTTCCTAATAGACATATATACATGTACACATTCACATATTTACATATTGGGTCGACAAGTAATTAATGTCGCGTTTTGAAACACTTTCATTAACCATCCCCAAAAAACGTACATCACGTATAATAGTTAAACGAACCGCCTAAACGTCACGTTAGTGTAGCCTATATAACATGTAAAGTTTAGTATATTGTTTGTTTGTTTTGAATTTCGCGCAAAGCTACACGAGGGCTATCTGCGCTAGCCGTCCCTAATTTAGCAGTGTAAGACTAGAGGGAAGGCAGCTAGTCATCACCACCCACCGCCAACTCTTGGGCTACTCTTTTACCAACGAATAGTGGGATTGATCGTAACATTATAACGCCCCCGCGACTAAAAGGGCGAGCATTTTGGTGTGACGGGGAATGGAACCCGCGACCCGCAGATTGCGAGTCGAACTCCCTAACCACCTGGCCATGCCGGGCCAGTTTAGTATATTTTAATCCCTTGTAGTGATGGCACACGACCATACACACATTCGACATGTAATACTGTTTGAATACAAGAAGGGAAACAACGCCTCTGGAGCCACAAAAAATATCAAAGATGTTTATGGAAATGTTTTGAACGTTCATAAGTGTCAACGATGGTTCAGGAAATTTTGTTCAGATGACTTTAGCTTTAAAAACTGTGATGGCAGGGGCTGTCGAGTTGGAATTGATATTGATGCTCTGAAGACGCTTGTTGACTCTCACCCAAGGCAACACACTTGTGAAATGTCCCTGAAATTGCATGTCTCTCATGAAACAATACGTAAATATCTAAGGAATATGGCAAAACTCCATAAAGAAGGTGTTTGGGTGCCTCACGAACTCTCCGATGCGTAATGCGCGTGAACCATTTTTGGACAGAATTGTCGCCGGTGATGATAAATGGATTCTCTATGCGTTCTCCACAGAAATCTATCCTGGGCGAGCGACTCCCAGTTCACATGGTTGATGTCGAACTCTTGCAG